TTACTTTCTCATATAAAATGTTTTACAAAAAAAAAAATACATATTTTAATTTTGTGATATTATAAAATAAAATAAAAATAACATTTCGAAGAAAATAATTTTTGGTACTTTATCTAGATGTTGGAATGTCACCAATAATCATCTTCTACAAATAGTGTTATTTTTATTTTAAAGAATATTGTGTTAAATTTTAAGTGAAAAGAGTTATTTTAAATTTTACCTAGATGTTGAAGAATTTTAAGATAATTCTTTAACTTAAAATTTTTTTTAATATTTTTAAATAAAGAGTTTTAGTAAAGATTTATTTTTTTAAATGAAGAAAATTAGTGTTAAAATTTTAAACAAAACTATTTTATCCAACATCGAAAATAACACATGATTACTTGGTGCCAATTTATGAGTATTGTGGAGATGCTAACATTTCCTCACACATAATCGACTTCCAGACTTAATTTAACTTTTATAAATCAAAATTTATTTTTTTATAAACTTTAAATTTATTTTTATAATTTTATTAAAAAAATAAATTTTTAAGTGATCAATAACATTTTAACATAGCTTAGTGATGATTTTTTTTTTTAATTTTAAAATTATTTTCGTTTGATGGTCTCAAAATCGTTATAACAATCATTCAATGAAAATGCCTTTTAGTGGAATACTGATCATCTTATAGTCTAAAGGATTATTAACTAGAGTCATTGAATTAATTATGGAAGTCAAAATAACATTGAATTTTTAAGTTCATGTTGTGAAGTTTTCGTTTTCCTAATACAATCTGATGATTTTTATGCTGTCTCCAAAAACATTTGTAGGACCCCTTTTAAATTTTATGCCAAGTGCTAATGCAATTGAAAGGCCTTTTATATGGTGACTTGTGAGAGTTACTGACATGTGAAAACTGCTCATCAACAGTGACTTTGTTGATAGTTTTGTATTACCAATGGGTACTAGATGCAATCATTGACTTGTAGTAAAATTTGCCAGCCGATGGTTCGCTCACTTTTACTGTGTGAATTTTATCTTTTATCTAAGGAGAAATTTTATTTTTTATTTAAAAATAAAGATAATATTATATTATAAGTATAAAAATAAAAATAATTTTAAATTTTTATTAAATTTAAAAATAAAAATAAATAACTTTTTAACAGTAAATGAAATGATCGTACTAGTCTTGTTCATCACACAACCAGATTGATGATATTGGTATTTTAAATTAAAATCAATAGACATAATAACTTTTTTAAATAAATTAAAAATTTCATCATTATTTTCGAAATAAAGCACAATAACCTGTTACAATAAAACTGATCGAGAATCAAGATTATCAAAATATATTAATTGATAATGCTCAAGATATTATTGTAATCCATGGGTGTGTGTATTGATATACACATATATATATATATATATCTTATCCTTGGATTTGATGCACGGACTTAATTGGTTTGGGTAGGAGGAACCTGATTCGGGGAGTAAAGGAAGAGCTAAAATTGTTGCTTTCAAGAGAGGAGGCAAACCTGATAACGTTGTTAGCTAGTCTTCAAATTTACGTTTCCAATTACTTGGAAAGATCTTGCGGGTATAGTGTCCACGTGAATTCATGGTGAGATTGATTTGGATGAGATAAAAATAATTGTGATAGTAAAATTATATATAGTAATGATAAAATTAAAATTAAAAACATATATATTTGAATGAAAAAATAATGACGGTGGTAAAAAAAAAAGATTATTAAAGATATTAAAAATAAATTAAAAATTATTTTATTAGATATTTTAATTTTATTTAACATTTAAGATATTAAAAATTAATTACTTAGAAGTACAATTAGGCAAAATTTAATAATGTGAATAGAAATAGAATTTTATTTTTTAAATTTATTAAAGGTGTGTTTAGATAGGATATTTGAAGGAGAAATTTCATTTCAACAAAGGTTTTCATAAGTCTAAAATTGAATGTATTTATTTGGATAAAAATAAAAGAGAATTTCAAAATTTTAAAAAATAAATATAATTTTATATTACTCTAATATATATATTATTAATAATATCCATATATTTTTACAAATCTAATGAGACTTATATTGCATATTTTCTTTATACATATATATATTTTTATCTTTAATATTATTCTTCTTTTATAATTATTTTTTTCTCTAGTCAAATTTCAACACACTAAATTTCTTTCTAAGAAATATTATCCAAATCAAATAGATACAAATGCTAGCATTTTCAAATGATGCATTCTAAAATGTTTCACTTCAAATTTTCTTTTCAAAATTTCAAAATTCTCCATTCACATGCACCGTAAAAATATTTTATCCTTGATAAATTTTTAAAGAATAGGTAAAGTTGAATTAAAAGAAATTAATGAGAACAAAAGTGTCCAAAATGAAATGCGGTAAGTAACTGCGCTTCTTCTTTCCTCATCAGTGAAGATTACTCCCGATCGAACGGTGACAAAGTTGTCCAAATAAATAATCACTGTAAAGGTGAGAAAAAAATCGAAAAAATGAAAAATTGATTCAAAATCATAGTTTTAATTTGATTTGGATTAATTTTTTTTATTCGGTAAGGATTAAAGTTTAATAATAAAAATATACATTAAATTTGGATTGACATGTAAAAATTTGAAAAAAAATAGAATCGAATCAAATTATATATTTTTATTAGTTATATATATTAAATTTTATAAAATAAAAATAATTATTTTATATATAAATCTATTTAAATATATTAAAAATCTTATTAACATAATATATTAAAAAACAAAAAAAAGTTAAATTTAAAAATCAATTAACCATACCAAATTGAATTGATAGAATTTAGTTTGGATCGATTTTAAAAAAAGATCTATTCAAATTTAGATAAAATTTTAAAAATTTATAATATTATATATTATCCAAAAAAACTAAAACGAATTCATTTAAACGTTATAACTCCTAAATCACAGCGAGATTGCATAAAATAGGTCTGCTAAGACGTAATCCAATTGAGTCTTAGTTTTCTTCTTCAATCCATAATGATAGAAAGTAGTCAGCATGCAGTTATCTCTTAATCATGACTTGAGGTAAGATTAATTTTGATTAAAAATTAATAGTTTTATAGAAAAATATTGACTTGAAGATCAATTTATCAAGAATTTTCTTTCCTCATTTGGCCTCTATTTTTTAAAATTTATAAATTTTAAGGTCCTACGAAATTGATATGGGTACCAATTACTTAATTTCGTTAGATAGTTATATTTGTAACCAGCTGTATCATTGGCATTTTCTTCATTGGTTTATAGGCAACTCTAACTAGAGAACTAATTTTTGATAGGTGTAGTCGGTCTTGGTTTAATAATAACAAAGGAGATTTTGGAAGCTTGATTTAGAATCTCGAGCTCAAATTCAAGTTCTATCAATATATGAATTGGTCTAACTTTATACTAAATTTAAATAATCATATGTTGGTTGATTGATTTATTGATTTATTTATTTATTTTAATTTAATAATTATATATATAGACATAATACTTATAACTTCTAAAAAAATTTTCCAGTTGATCTAAGGAGGTTCTTAATCTTAGTTGGTTTTATGAGAAAATCTATATCAATTCTGAAAAAAGATTTGAAATTTGCCTTACCACTTAGAATGAATTTCAAAATCTATACATGAATTTTCTTTTAATAAGATATTTAAGCTTATTCTCATAACTATAATTTTTTTTCCTATTAGGCTTTATAAAGTAGTAGGATGGGTTTCTTTGACTTTAACTACCAATTCTTATTAATATGAGAATTAATCTCAAGAACTTAGTAAAATCACCAAACAAAAACATATTACTAGTATTTGATTCAGAAGTGAGCTTTTTGTATTGTTTATATTTCTTTTTAATCTCGATGGTGAAATTAAAAATTCACTTTCATTGAATAAAAAAATAACTCTTTTTTTTTTTACGGTTAAATTTATTAAATATTTTATCAGATAAAGCATTGTGCATATGAGGCCAAGGTTCTTGTTAATTTGGGTTGTTGCTTTGGACCTTAAGGCGGTCTAAGAATCAAGTGTTATTATAGTTTTTAGTCTTTGTTAGCCACTGCTTTCTTCAAAACTCAAAACCATAATACTAACATATTCTTGTTACTTCATTTCTTTTGGGTACATTGATTTAGATCTTGATAATGATTCATTTATTTTCCCAGTAGTTTTCTCATATCCAACACAAAAAAGTAAAGCAAAGTCTTGCATGTCTTAATCGGAAAATAAAGAGTGTTTGCTCACCGTAAACTGTTTTCCATACGAACTGTTTCGTAGTTAAACTTTTAGATACTATATTTTTAAATAAATTGACTTATAAAAAATCGATAGATTTCACTTTTGAATTATCTAATAAAATTTTAACACATGTAAATGCACTCAGCGCAATCGTAGGTGCCAAAAACAAAACTTTATTGCACCAGCTGATTCAACATTATGGTGATTCATTGACTGATTTACATGTACTTTATCCTAGAATCTATACTAAATTTAAAATCTAAATCCTTTCTTTTAAATTCAAGTTGCCAAATGCAATCTACAATTTTTTTAAGTATTTGACTTCAATTCCATTAGAAATTGACACTAAAAGAAAAAATTTAATATTGTACTAATAAATCACGTGAATATTTGAAATTCATTGTGCTTATAGTTACAAACAACGAAATCCTTAACCCAAAGCAGATGTTGCCATGTTGCGGGTGACCATTAATTGCTTTTATTCGATAATCAAGGTGAGTATATATAATTGCTTTTATTTGATAATCAAGGTGACAATATTCTATTGTTTTTCTATGGTGGGACAGTCGACGACTTGACCAGAGGGAAAAGAACAGAGTTTTCTAAATTGTGGCCCAAATTGCAGACGTAAAAGCTAACTTGCTCACAGGATTGACTTAAAGATCACTTGAATCGATGCTTTAAACCTAGAATTCCTTCTATATGGTTCTCAATCTGATCACTGGAAATCAGCTGTAAATGATGAGAGGTTGGTTTGCTCCTCCTGTTAGCTTGCTCGTTATCTTATTTCTTGCCCTACAGTTCACAAATGGCAATGACACAATTCATCGAGGGGAAACAATCACCCACCCAAAGACCATTATATCATCAAATGGGACATTCGAACTTGGGTTTTTTTCTGCGACAAGTTACTCCAAGTACTACCTTGGAATATGGCATAAGGTGTCTAAGCCAGCAAGAGTTTGGGTGGCAAACAGAGAATACCCCTCCCTGAGTGACTCTTCTAATCTCACTATCAACTCCGAGGGAAATCTTGTGATTTCAGATGGCAGAATGTCATACAAGGTAACAGACATTACAACTAGCAACAACAGCAACACGTTTGCTAGACTACTAGATTCAGGTAACCTCGTATTGCTAGACGGGATCAGCTCTGCAGTTTTGTGGCAAAGTTTTGACTTTCCCACCGACACTATTTTGTCTGGAATGAATCTTGGACAAGCGAAATTTTTCCCAAAAAATTGGTCTTTAGTGTCGTGGAGAAGTCAGGAAGATCCTGCCGTTGGCTCTTTTTCCCTGGACGTGAATATTGAAGGTGAATTGGTCATTAAGGAGGGTTCCAAAACATATTGGACTGGTTCTCCATTTCTGTTTGAAAATTATAGCGTCGACGTTTTGCTCCATCAAGTACAAAATCGTGCCATGCGGAAATCTCATCCAGGAGACAATTACATCACGTGGCATTTCCTTGATCCTTCAACGATTATGCACATAGCATTGGACATGTTTGGAAAGCTAAAGCTACAATCTTGGTCAGAAGATGACCAAAGTTGGCGTACATTAAAGTTTTCGAAGTGTTCATATCGCCGATGCGGAGCTTACAGTATTTGCAACATCATTGCTGAAAAGCCTTGCAGCTGTTTGACAGGTTTCAAACCTTTTTCTGCTGAGAATTGGACTAAGAATGAGACATCTCAAGGTTGTGTAAGGAAAACCCACTTGCAGTGTAGCAATAGTACTACTGGTGGTGGATTCAATAATTATGGGTTTTACTGGATGACATTTGTAGATTTTCCAAGTGGTAGATCGGTGTTAGAATATGTCAGTAGTGCAGTTGAATGCGAGGCGGTTTGCTTGAGCAATTGTTCTTGCCTCGCTTATTCTTATGATCTCAAGTGCTTACAATGGTATGGTGATTTGTTTGATCTAAAGCAACTTGCAATCAACGATAGCGATGGAAAAAACTTTTATCTCAAGCTTCCGATCAGTGAGTTGACTAAAGGTAAAGAGAACGTTGAAAGTCTTGCAGGATATCATGGAAATTAATCAACTTGCTTTTTTTTTTTTTTGGGTATTTGAGACTGCATAACCTTAATCATTGAAACTAAAAATTCAGAATTTTATCAACAAAGCACGTGATTGGCAAATCAACGTGTTTTTGCCTCTATTTACCTAAAACAAATACTAGAGCTACATATTAACTTCCAGCTTCTATTTTGTTTTGCTTCGCAGATCCTATTTCATCGACTTCAAGGAGGACAGACGATCAAAATGCAGGCACGAAGATGCAGTTGTGGATAATTGTCATACTAACCATATCTCTGTTAATGTTTATTTTGGGCCTTTGTATTCATTATGTTAGAAGAAAGCTCCATGGGCAAGGTAACACTTTTTCTTTGGCATATTCTACTATAAACCACTGTCAAATGAAAATCAAAGTTTTTAGGAAGTATTCTTTCTGCGTATTTTAATTAAAATGAATTTTCTGTAGAAAGAGGGTTAAATATGAGTAGAATTGAGGCAGTAATAAGGGTTAAATATGAGTAGAATTGAGGAAGTAATAAGAAGTAAAATTTTTATTGAAGCCATAACCTCAATTTTCTATTCCTTCTAGGGGGGGATTTGTTAAAATTTGATTTGGCAATGAGCCTAAATGCGGACCATACAGAACTTACAGAGGAAAATATGCGTTCAGCACGGAAGAAGCCAGAAGTTAAACTGCCATTGTTCAATTTTGCAAGCGTTTCTGCTGCAACAAATGGTTTTTCTTCCACAAATAAGCTTGGGGAAGGTGGTTTTGGACCTGTCTACAAGGTATGAACTTTTGCCATAATAACTAGATTTTCATAAGACGACCATGCCAAATGTAGGATTAAAATGTTGGAATAAAATTAAAACAATTTCAGGGAATATTACTGAAAGGAGATGAGATAGCTGTTAAAAGGCTTTCAAAAAGATCTGGACAAGGATGGGAGGAGTTGAAAAATGAAGCATTGGTCATAGCAAAGCTCCAACACAAGAATCTTGTCCGACTTTTAGGCTGTTGCATAGAGAAAGATGAAAAGATAATAATTTATGAATTCATGCCTAATAAAAGCTTGGATTTCTTCCTATTTGGTTCGTATTTTGCTAGACATTGAAGTCAATTATCGTTCCTTTACGATGATCAATGGACCATTTACTAACATCTCGTTTATGATTTTAAACAGATTCAGTTAGGCGTAGGATACTAGACTGGGAGATACGAGTTCGTATCATTGAAGGGATTGCTCAAGGGCTTCTTTATCTTCATCAATATTCTAGAGTGCGAATCATTCATAGAGATTTGAAGGCTAGTAATATATTGTTGGACAACAACATGAATCCGAAAATATCAGATTTCGGAATGGCAAAAATCTTTGGAGGGGATGAGTTACAAGCAAACACAAATCGAATTGTTGGAACTTAGTAAGTAGAATTAAAATGGAACCTCTCAATTATTCCAACTCCACGCTTGTCATCTGAACCCGGATGAGCTTGACTATGCATATATTCTCATAGAGATGCATTTACTAACAAAGTTTCACTACTTGCTTTCAGTGGTTATATGTCACCTGAGTATGCTCTTGAAGGCCTTTTCTCTATAAAATCCGATGTCTTTAGCTTCGGAGTCCTATTGCTAGAGATCCTGAGTGGCAAGAAGAACACTGGATTTTATCAATCTAATTCTCTCCATCTTCTTGGACATGTGATTGTCTGAACTCCCTATTTTTGTGATGTTGGATAACAAGATCAGTTAGATATCTTAAATTCACGTATTTATCATAAATTGAAATGAAAAAAAAAAGAATTAGTATCTATGAAAAAGTGCAATTGCTTCCATAATGAAGTTAGTAAGTCTTGTTCTCATAGCCGATTTTTCTTGTGGTTTAAGGCATGGGATTTGTGGATAAGCAACAAGGGATCGGAGTTGATTGATCCAGTGCTAGAGGAAGTATCGACACATTTGGCAATGAGATATATTAACATAGGGTTGCTTTGTGTTCAAGAAAGAGCAGATGATAGACCAACCATGTCTGATGTTGTCTCAATGCTCAACAATGAAAGTCTGATCCTACTTTCTCCTAAACAACCTGCCTTCTTAAATGTAAGAAGCATAGCGAACCTACCATTGGTGAAGAGCAGGCAAGAAATTTGCTCTGTAAATGATGTAACATTTTCAGCCTTCCAGGCTCGATAACATTTTAAGCTAGTCTTGAATGATATTGTAAGACTTTTATGTAGAAAAATTATTTAGAAGACAGCAATTGGTTGACTTCAGCTTCAAGTCATTATTTTGGCCTAACATTTTTTCAATCATCATAAACGGTTAAATGCTGTGATATAAGTAGCTTTTTTGATGATTTTTGTGACATGGAGTGTTGAAAAGATAATCTATATTACTCAAAATTTTAGTGACAGCCAATTGTACTTTGTACTGGTTGGATTAGGAAATACCTTGGAAACTTTGATTTTTATATTCATTCTGAATGAAAATTTGTATATGTGCTTTTCCATCAAAACTCCTCCCTCTTCTCGTTTGTTTTGGATTTTAGGGTGACTTGAAAAATAATTATAAATTGTGATAAATGTAGCATACCATAAGTTAGGTCAGGTAGCTATAATTCGTTTTTGAACGCTGAAAACCCACTAACCAAGTTACTAAAATCCCACTTGGCACAAAAGTGGCAGACTGGGTCAGCCAACGCGTGAAAGTCATCGACTTGGAGGGGATTTTTTATGGGATTTCAAAGTTGTACGGTTTTAATCAAATTCAGACTTAGACAGGTACATTTTTATATTTGTTTTTCTTTTAGACAAGTAAAATCACGTGAATACATGGTCAAGTGGAATATGAAATAAACATTTCTGCCACATTCCCCTCTCTATGTCCATTCTTTACAAGTAAATCTTGGCAATTCCTGTTCTGTTTTCATTGTGTTCTATACTGAAACTACCTTAACATTGAACAATACTTAAATGATGAACTCTGATATGACAAACCTTTTTTTATACCATTTGATGTTTTTATCAATCATGAAGTTGTCATTGTTGCAAGAATGCCTTATTGGCTGCATTATGTAGATATTGGCTGCTAATATGTTATAAAGAATAAGATACATGTAAAAAGTGGTGAAATTAAATATGTCATGTTTGATCAAAATTTTAAGAAATTAGTTTTGTGATAATAGTTTATGGAAGTTTGTTGTGTGTGAGTGATTTTTGTTTATGACTTACAAAATCCAAAGATCAAACCTTGTAACTAGCAGTCATTCTAGTTTTAGGTTAAAATCCTTTTGTATTTAAGGAAGTTGTATTGAATGAAGAAGTTGAACAACATTTTAGTTCCATATTCTCATTGTTCATTTTCATGAATTTTTTTTCTTTGTCTTTATAAAACAAACAAAATTGGTATCAAAACCAAGCTTCTTGAGGGATTTGTGAGTTAAGTGAACAAAAAAAAATTACAAACAAAAATCCTTTACACAAACAAAGCAACATACAAAACCCTTAATTAAATGGAGTCAGATAAAACATTCTTAGTTGAACCACTAGTCTTTGATGGTGACAACTATCAAGCTTAAGCTATTAAAATGGCAATTTGTTTGGATGCTTTAGATCTGTAAGAAGTAGTGAATAATGACTATGAAGTTCCTATACTACCTATTAATGCAACAGTTGCTCAGTTTAAGAATTATAAGGAGAAAATGACTAAAAAGTCAAAAGCAAGAGTTGGCTTATATTTTACAGTTTTAAGCACAATATTCACCAGAATCATGAACCTACAATCAGCAAAAGAGATCTGGGAGTATCTCAAGAGGGAATACCAAGGCAATAAGAAGACAAAGAACATGCATGTGTTGAGTTTGATAAGAGAATTTGAGATGCAAAAAATGAAAGAGTCAGAATCCATTAAAGAATACTCTAACAAGCTGTTCAGTATTGTAAACAGGGTGTGACTATTTGGTAAGGATTTTTCTGATGAGAGAATTGTGCAAAAAATTTTCGTTACATTACTTGAGAAATATGGAGCTAAAATCTCTTTTTTAGATGAGTCAAAAGATCTATCAAACGTTTCCTAGGCAGAGTTAGTGAATGCATTGCAGGTGCAAAAACAAAGAATGATAATGAGACAAAATTTTATAATCTTTTAAGCAAAGGCATGGAAATCATGAAGAGGCCAAAAAAAGAGGAAGAACGGGAAGTAGAACAACAACAAGCTTGGCAACAATGTATGAAACAACAAAAGTAAGGATAGAACTTATCAACCTTGTCCACACTACAAGAAGACTAATCATCTGCAGAAAAAGTACTGATGGAGGCTAGATATTCAATGCAAAAAATGTAGTTAGATTGGGCACATGAAAAAGACTTGTAAGTCACATAAGCTTGGAAAAGAAGCAAATGTCGTTGTTGAACAATATCAGGAGAGGTAGTTGTTTGTTGCAACATGCTTTGCAACGAATAGTAGTTTTAGTGACTCTTGGCTTATTGATAGCGGTTATACAAACCACATGACAAATATTAGGAGCTTTTTAAAGAACTTGATAAAACTGACATTTTCAAAGTTAGGATTGAAAATGGTGAATACATCACAGTCAATGACAAAAGAACAGTGGTTATAAAAGAGACTAACAAGTTTGAAATACATTATTGATGTTTTATATGTGCTTGACATTGATCAAAACCTACTTAGTGTTGGACAACTACTTGATAAGGGTTTCAAAATATTATTTGAAGACAAATGGTGTAAGATCAAAAATGCAGAAGGCATATATACATTTAAGATAAAAATGAAAAGAAAAAGCTTTGCTCTGAATCTAATGGAGAATGAGTAAATAGTCTTTCCATATAACACAAGCAATGCAAAATTTTGACACAAGAGGCTTAGGCATTTTCATCATGTTGAATTTCTTTATATGTAAAAACACGATCTAGTGAAAAGAGTGCCATTGCTGGAAGAGAAGATGGCAGATTGTGTGGTTTGTCAATATGGCAAACAAGTCAAAAGTTCTTTTTTTCAAATTGCATGAAAAACAACATACAAACTTCAACTAGTGTATAAAGATGTAGGCAGACATAAAAAAACATCATCTTTAAATAGCAGTAAGTATTATATTCTATTTATTGATGATTATACTAGATTCTGTTGGATTTATTTTCTTAAATTCAAATTTGAGATTGTTAGTGTATTTTGGAAATTTAAAGTATGGGCGAAGAATCAAAGTGGTTGCAAAATGCAAGTAATAAGGTTAGATAATGGAAAGGAACATACTTTTGACATGTTTAACAAATTTTATAAAGAAATTGGTATTGAGCACCAACTTACCACACTCTATACTCTACAGTAGAATGGATTGAGTGAAAGGAAAAATAAAACTATAATGGAGATGACAAAGTGTATACTATATGAAAAAGAGCTACCAAAGAAATTATGGGTAAAAGCTAGAAACATAGCAATCTTTTTACTAAACAAACTACCAACCAAAGTTCTTGTCACATCCAGAGATCAAGACGTAATATGACCATATTATCTTGAAGTAAAACCCCAAAGTAATACGAAGCCTTACTTCTTAATCATTATAAAATTCTTTAATAAACTGATGATAAATCATTGTATATCCAAATACAAACTAATAAAAATACAAAACCATTACGTAAGATTTCATTGGCTAACAATATCATCAATGTCCAAGTAATCTTTTCAATTTGATCTTTTAGCTTCTTACAAGAATGAAAAAACTTATCACTTACTCATCTACAAAGAGAAAGAAAAAAAAAAGAAGCAAATCATAGCTCATTAAGTATAAACTCATACACTTGACTGGATCTAGCATTGTTTTTATACATATCATATAGATCATTTAAAACATTCATCAAATTATAATATCAAAATATTTAAAAAATCATCATTATGTCAAACATTTTGTAGATCACAAAATAGATCAATTCATAATCATTGTAAAATATGTTGCTATTTAAATATCGTAATCAAACCAAATCATATATCAATATTTGAAAATCATCATAAATCATCATTATCATTAGTTTATCGATAGTTACGATCACTGCTATAATCCGTGATAATTTTATTCTCATGATCATTGCTAACTATTATAACTCATTGGTCAGAACCTTACACTAACTACTATAACCCGTTAGTAAGACTGTATGATCATGGTTATGCTAACCAATATAACTCATTAACTAGGGTCGTAGAATTAATTTTGGTGTTGATTATCCCTTTTTCTAGGGATGTAAAAACGTAGCTATCATAAAATCATTTCTTAAACATAAATCATTTTCTCATTTTATTCATAAGCATGATTTATCATTTACATAGCAAAAAACAAAACAATCATATGTTTGATCCTATTTTCATATAATGAAAAAAAAAAAAAACTCTTTACTTATTTAGAAACATACATATATACATAGGTTTGAAAATAAGCAAAGTGTGTGAGATTCTACTTATCTCTTTTCGATTTCATCACTTAATTTTTTTCCAAAATAACTAATAGCCTATTTAAGATCATTTGAATATAATAGAAGTTAATCAATACATTTTGAGTCCATGAATACTAAAAATAACTAAGTTACACATGAGTTAACTCAATTAATTAATACTAATAGCCTAAGCTCTTTTCACTAAAATAACCATATATTAAGATATCCAACTTAGAATTAAAATCTTTATAGTGCGTTAGAAATTAAACTCGATAAACTTTCTAACCATGTATGGTTCACTACATAATTCCTTGTAGATTATTTGTAATAATTTTTGCAATCCATGTCATATGCTACTACCAAATAGTATGTATACATTCTAATAAGAATTACATATTTATTCATAAAAGACTCTAAATTTAATTCCACTTGTTTTGTTAAAAAAATAAACCCAATAATCTTGTCAAACATGTATGGCTCAATCTATAATTCTTTATATAAAATTTAAGATAATTTTTGTAATTCATCACTGATGTTGTTGCCATTTAACTTGTATATCCTTAAGTAAAAATAATACAACTCTTCATAGAAAATTCAAAATCAACTTTCGTTTATTTTGTTAGAAAGTAGATTCAACAAGTTTTCCAACAATGTGTAATACTGATAGAATAACTTATCCATTAATACAAAATTTCATTTTAATTCACTATTGTACATAATGGCATCTTATCTAAAAATAAAATTTCTCCTTCAATATTTAAAAACTCAAATCCCCATTTTCAGCTTTTAAAATCCTTTCAATAATTGCCATTAAATCTTAATAACATAAAGTAAACAAGCCCAATAATTTACTCAAATTGATCATGAATATTAATGAGAGATTTTATAATTTTTCTTATTTTTTTCTTATAACTTCAACTCTAAATTATAGTAACCAACATAGTGTTTTTCTTAAATAAAAAGAAGGCATATACTTATCTTTAGGAAATTACTCTAATTTTAGCATCTGATTTCAAATCTCTAACTTGATTTTTTATGTTTTCTAACCTTAAAAGAAAACGAGGAAGAAGAACTCTCTTTTCCTTTTCTATTCTATGATAGTTAGATTTTTTTTCAGTAAAATACCTCTGTCACTTTATCTTTTACTAATTAATCTTTTAATAAATTAATGGGATTTGGTATTAGACTAGCCTAATTATCATTTAGGTTGGGGTATTACAGTTTTGCAAAAGAGAACTCCATTTGAAGCATGGTTTGGTTATAAACCAGACTTGCAGTATCTAAGAACCTTTGGTTGCCTATGTTTTTTTTTTATGTGTCATAGGTAAAAAAAGACAAAGTAGATAAAAAGGCAAAACCAGGAGTCTTTATTGGATATAGCAGCTCATCTAAGGCTTACAAAATTTTCCTACCATAAAATGGAAAAATTATTGTGAGTAGAGATGTTAAGTTCATAGAGGATAGACAATAAAACTAAAAGGAGCCAGAAAAAGAGTAACATTTAAAGTTTTAGCAAAATCCTTAGGATGACATAGATGAAGCACTAGTCAAAGGTACAATGCCATTGTCTGATATTTATGAAAAGTGCAACATTATTGTTTTTAAGCCTATAAAGTTTAAAGAGGCAGAAAATGATGACAAGTGGATTGAAGCAATAAAGGAGGAACTTAGAATAATAAAAAAGAATGACACTTAGGAGTTGGTGGATAGACTTTAACATAAAAAGCCTATAGGTGTCAAATGGGTTTACAAAACCAAACTTAATGCAGATGGTTTTGTAAACAAATATAAAGCTAGATTAGTTGTGAAAGGATATGCTTGAGTGTTTGGAGTAGATTTCTTTAAGACTTTTGCTACAGTAGCACAACTTGATACAATCAGAATGCTATTTGCCTTGGTAGATAAAAGGGATGGAACGTTTACTAGCTGGATGTAAAATCTATGTTTTTAAATGGTTATTTGCATAAAAAGATCTTTACGGAGCAATTAAAAAGTTTCCAAGTTAATAAAAAAAAAGGAGAAGGCCTATTTGTTAAAGAAGGCCTTACATGGCCTTAAACAAGCTTCCAAGGTTTGATACAACAAGATTGATGAACACTTGCTAAGTCTTGGTTTTGTTAAAAACTTAAATGAAGCTATGCTATATGTAAAAAAAACTTATGCTAATCTGATCATGGTTTCTATTTATGTTGCTGAGATGCTTGTGATAGGATGTGATGAGAAACTAATAAATGAGTTTAAGGCTGAAATGCTCAAAGTATTTGAGATGACAGACCTTGGTTTGATGTCTCATTTTTTTGGGAATGAAGGTGAAGCAAAATCAAGATGGAGTCTTCATATGCCAAAAGAAATATACAAGGGAAATACTTAAGAAATTTCATATGGAGGACTACAAATGCACAAATACTCTAATGAATTAGAACAAGAAATTTGGCAAGGATGATGGATCATACAAAATTGATAAAAGATAGTACAAAAGTTTGATTGGTTGTTTGATGTATCTTACTGCCACCAAACCAGACATTATATTTGTAGTGAGCTTAGTTTCATGATTCATGCATTATGCCAGTAAGGTGCACTTTCAAGCTTCTAAAAAGATTGTCAGATATATTAAGGGCACAGTAAATTATGGTATCAAATATTTCTACTATCAGGATTTTAAGCTCTATGGTTATTTTAATAGTGATTGGGCAAGTTCAGTTGATGACATGAAAAACACAACAGGTTTTTGTTTTAGCTTTGGATCATGAATGTTTTCATGGTGCTTAAAGAAGTAAGAAAGTGATAGCTTGGAGCAAAGCTAAGGCTAAGTATGTTGCAGCCATTGTAACTATAAATCAAGCATTTTGGCTCAGACTTACACATGGAAAAGAATGAGCTAACACATATTCATATAGATAACCAAGCTACAATTTCAATATTAAATAATCTTGTTTTTCATGGCAAGACTAAACACTTTAAGATCATGTTATATTTTTTAAAAGAAGTGCATAAACAAGGTGAAGTCAGTTTACTTATAGTAGACCTGAGGATCAAATTGTAGATGTGTTAACCAAAGCCCTATCCAAAGCTAGATTTGAAGCTTTAAGAAGTAAACTAGGTCTTTGCAGCTATTGAGGCAAGAAGGAGTGTTGCAAGAATGTTTTATCAGTTGCATTATGTAGACATGGGCTGCTAATATGTGATGAAAAATGAGATGTGCATAGAAAGTGGTGAAACTGAATATGCCATGTCTGACCAAAATTTTAGGAAGTTAGTTATGTGGTAGTGGTTTATGGAAGTTAGTTGTGTGTTAATGGTTTTATGGCTTGCAAATAGAAAGATCATGCCTTGTAACTAGTAGTCATTCTAATTTTAAGTTAAAATCCTTTTGTATTTAAGAAAGTTGTATTGAATGAAGATGTTGAACAACATTTCAGTTTTATATTATCATTGTTCATTCTTACGAGTTTATTTTTTTTTCTCTGTCTATGTAAAACAAATAGTCATTAGCAACTGATACGATAACTCCAGTGCAATCCAATAGTGATGGTGAGACATTGGTTTCTTAATCCCAAAGCTTTGAACTAGGATTTTTCTCTCCTGGCAACTCAAAGAACAGATTCCTGGGGAAATGGTACAAGAAAATTCCTAGGGCAGTTGTGTGGGTTGCAAATAGAAACAGCCCAATTGCTGATGCAGGAGGAGTTTTAACCAACAACAGTGATGGAAAATTGATACTCTTTGATGGAACAAACAACACTGTTTGGTCTTCAAATGTCTCTAGAAAAGCAGAAGGTCCAGTGGCACTACTCTTAGATTCTGGAAACTTTGTTGTTAAAGACAACAAAACAATGAAACCTGCGGTTGAGATCTATCTGTGGCAGAGCTTTGATTACCTGTCAGAAATACTGTTGCCGGGCATTAAGCTTGGAAGGAACTTAAAAACTGGATCAGAATGGTTTTTAACAGCTTGGAAAAGTGCTGACGATCTGTCTCCAGGAAACTTTTCTTGCAGACTCAGTATTCAAGGTTTGGCTTCTTTAGTTACTTACAGAGATTTAAATAGCGGTCGCAGTCACGTTTTCAATCGCGTAACGTTTGTCGCGTTTTCAGATATAACAGAGATAATTGCGATCACTGTGATCATCACGGTCGTGATTTTTTTTTTTGCATAATTTATAAAATATAATAATTATAATTATAATTATAAAAATTTTTATTCAATGATTTTAAAAATAGTTTATGATACTCTATGTTTTTTATTTTCTAAAAAAATTATTCACAATTTTATTTAGATTATAAAAAGCATTCATATTTGATTTATCCATAAAATTTGTATTGGTCAAGTTCATATTCAATATTAATTCTAAACAAATCAAACATTAACAAAACATAATATGTTAAATAACAAGCATTTAATTTAATAAAATTACAAACTTAAAAGTATAATAATTTCAAATTCCATCAACTACAATTATTGATATATATTTCAAATTTTATCATATGGTAAAATGACGAGAAGGATCAGATTCTCTATCTTCATTTTGAGAGCCAAGTTGACTCCATCTTTATTCCTGAGGCCTTTGTTCTTAATATATTTGAGGTTGAGAATATATTTGAGGATGATACATTTGTGGTGAAGGGTATATTATCTATGTATATCATATTAAATTATTAATCTCTTATTTTTTTAATTATAAATCTTCAATCCCTATAATTAGATTTTATCTAAAAAAATTTCAAAAATTAAAAGTTTTCAAACTTATATTTTAATAAAATTTTCAAACCTATATTTTTTATTTTTTAGTTTTTAATCTTAATAAGAGTAATAGATCATAAAATGCTAAATTTGTTAAGTAACTTAATTTTTTTATACACTAATTGATATAATTTTTTTTTTATCACAAGCAACTTTTAATAATTATATAATAAACACAATCTTCAATAATTACACAAAAATAACAAAAATTAATCTAATATCAAAAGAATTGGCAATAATATAAATATCAAAACAACAAAAAAATATTAAAATTCAGATACAAAATTATAAATTAATATATAACACAATTAAAATATAATAGTTAATTTTAATTATTTTTCATCTAACTTATACAAAAAAATTTATCAAAATTTTTCATTTAAAATCTCTGTATATTATATTACATTATTAATCTTTTTTTTTTAATTATAAATTTTCAAAACCATTAATTAAATTCTATCTAAAAAATTTTTAAAAATTAATTACAAAATTAAATAAAAAAAAATTCAATCCCATCCTTCAAACACCTCACCACACCTAATCCCTGCCCACCCCTATCCAATCCCTCTCCACCTGTCCCCCAACATCTCACCACACCAATCCCTCCCCACCTTCCCCCCAACGCCTCACCACACCCAATCCCTTCGCACCTCATCCAATCTCTCTCTATGTGCCTAATATCCCAAATTTGTTTAATTCTTTCTAGCAAACAACAGACCCTTCTAGAAACGTTAATACTTTCTTCTATTCATCTTCTTTTTCGTGCTGCCTTCCTTGGTTTTTCAGAATTTTCTTCTTATCTCTTTTTTTTCCATCTCTTATTTTTTCTCGCATTTCTTTATCACTATCACTTGCTGACTTGCCTAATATTTACGGATACCTCATTCGTCTTTCAAACTCTTACAATAGATCATTTTACAAAAATTTTACAAAAAAAGGATAATTTAACTTTTTTTTCTTACCTTATTTGATCTTGAATTTGATTTAAATTAATTTTGATGATAAAGATCTGAGATTGTGAGTTTTATTTTTTGCTTTGGCTTTTACTTTTACTTTTGTAGATTTATTATTTTATTCTGCAGACTTAAAGTTTTGTTTTTTTCTTGAACTATTAGATTTGTGAGAAGAAAAATAGAATAGCGGCAATAACGATCCGTTATTGCTACTATTGCTCGTTATGCCATTATTTTACAGCCGTTACTCTCCATTTTTGCTGTGAATGAATTTCTCAATCGTTTTTTATCTAATAATGGTGCCGGAGGGTGGTGTTAGCGTAATTTTACGATCAATATTCCACTATTAAACCGTTATTTGAATCCCTAGTTACTTATTTGGGATCAGTAAAAATGTTTCGTAGCGGACCATAGGATGGATTTAACTTTGGTGGTATTCCTGCATCTTCCAACTTGGTTTTTGTACCATCTTTGATGCATAATGAGGATGAAATCTATTAGAGTTATGAGCCTTTCAATAACCCAATTATTATACGATTAACCTTGAACATTTAGGTACTTACCTACATGTTATATGGAAAGAAAGGAGCATCAAATGGGACACAGTTTACTTAGGGCCAAGAAACCAATGTGATGTATATGGCCAATGTGGTGCAAATGGTATTTGCAGTATCAACAAGACACTAAATAGCCTTAATTCCATTATATCAGCGAAAATTAAATCCAATAATCAATCAAACACACAAAAGATAATAATTTCAGTCTAATTGACCTACATCCACGGATGAGAAATAAGATTCACTAGTTGTAGAGAATTACAAATATACATAAAAATAAATCAACCACTCAACAATTAATACTTATAGATCCTCTCAATATTCTCTACTCCTATGAAGTATTCTCATTTCAAACAAACACATACCCATATATGTCATTTCAATACAACCAAACACATACCCATATGCACCCATACATTATGCCTATGTGGACCCTTTTAATTTTCTCTAGTCCACTCACAAACAAACATACACACTCACAAATAAACATACACACTCATAAGACGTAAATCTTCAGTAATCTTATAGGGTGTCTACCCATAAAATTGTACAATTCTTTTATATCTTTTTTTCATGCCTCAACTTATAGAGATTTCACCTATTTATAACCATACAAACTTGCCTGTTAAGAATATTTTTCCTCTTATAATTATTCTTCTGCAAGTCGAACTTGTCTATTAAGAATCTTTTTTCTCTTAGAATTTTTCTTCTGTAAGTCTTCTTATTTATCAAGTAACATCTGACCAATCCCAAACAAATCTTTTATGAAATTTGAGTCATTATTTTCAACACTTTGTGAGTGTCTGAAAGGGTCAGACTTGAATCATAAGGGTTAGATACAGGTAACCACAATTGGTCTAAAAAGTGTGTCAAAGAATCGTTATTAGATTGCCAAAATGGAGAGGGGTTTCTAAAACTTGTTGGGATAAAACTGCTTGACTTGATAAAGTTCAAGTTGAATGAGAGTATGAGTCTGAAGGAATGTGAGGTGGACTGCTTTAAAAACTACTCTTGTATTGCTTATGTAAGCACGAACTTAGATGAACAAGAAAATGGTTGCGTGATATGGTTTGGGGATCTGATTTATATGAAAAACCTACCAGGACAAATGATGGGGCATGATATCTATGTAAGAGTACCATATTCATAACTAGGTATGTAAACTATGAGAAAAATAATGTTTATTGTCGTCTTTTCATTATTTTGTTACATAATTTCATCTGAAAATAACATTCGTCCTAATAAGATGTTTTTGGTTGCAACATGAACCTTAGCCATTTGCTTAATTATAAGTTGAATCAGCTTTAAAAACCCACAAGCATCACATAAAATTGGAAAATTTACATCATAATACTTCCCTCCAACATTTACTGGTGGAAACAAACAGAAATGTTGTCCTGTTGTTTTATGTAAGGAAAAAAAATCTTTAAAAAACGTGTTAGGCCTGAAGAATGCTTTAGCAAAGGTTTCTTTGTTACCGATTAGCATTTTTGAAAAATTGAAAAGGTCAATTAATTTTAAGAAAATTATAATCTAGACTTCACATTGTCTGTTAAAGGATCAGTCGGTGCTTCAAATGTCAAGAAACGAGTAATGATCATCGTAATAGTTTCAATCATTTTCAGAATGAATGTCTTGGGCATGGTGTTCTCCCTTCTCTTGTGGAAAAAATGAAAAAGAGGTAAGCATATGTGTTTTATCTCGTTGATTTTTTTTTTATGGTTTTTAATTAAAATTTCAACTGGAAAGTTGTATTTTAGTTACACGATGAGTCTGTCTTGCTGTTGCATTTGTTTGTTTCAAGATCAGCCTATACTTTAAATGATAAGAAAAGTATAAAGATCTCCATACTGCTTTCACTCATTTTTGGCATGTTTATTTTGGCCGCTCTGTTATGCTGCAAAATATGGAAAAAAGGTAATTAAATGCAACTTACATTACTAAATCATCATCACTATCTTTCAATTACGTTTAGACTTGGACGCTAAAGTGTCAGAATAGGCCAAGAAAGCTGCAAGGAGAATGTAGAAGTGCCTTTGTTTGATTTGGCTTCCACTGATACCGCTACCAATGGTTTCCTTGAAGAAAATTTATTTGGAATTGGTGGATTTGGTCCTGTTTACAAGGTATGACTCACCAAGGATTCAAATAGTGGTCGGATAACGGTGTCGCGGTCGTTATTTCGTGGTCGCGCCACTATCCGCCACTGCTATTGGAGAAAAAACGGGGAAAAATTTGAATCTCGTCTATAGCGGATGAATCGCGATCGTGAATTATGGTATAACAGTGAATAGCGGTCCGCTATTACCCGCTATTACTGCTATTCCTATTTTCATTCAAAAATTCAAAAAAAAAATTCATTTAATTTTGTTTAAAAATTTAAAATAAAAACAACAAAAAAGAAAATAAACATCAATTTACAAATTCAAAAAAAAAAAAAAAAGCCCATAAAACTTAAACTTTCAAAAAAATCAATTCTTTCAAGTTCAACTTCAATCAAAATCAAGTATATGCAATTTAAAGTAAACAATTAATTCAACACTCAAATTATCTTTTTTTTTAATTTCTAAATTTGCCATGATTTTGTGTGTTTGGGATTAGATTGGGCTATGTTATATTGATAGAAGGAGGCAAGAGTTGCTGAGACTTAAAATAAGAGATAAGAGATGAGAGTGAAACTTGATGTTTATAGAAGCAAGCAGATAGCATACGCCAAATAAAAAGAAAACTGAGAGATGGGGATGAGGATGAAGGTTTGGAGAAAAAAAATTATTGAATGCAAGGTGAAGGGATAAGAAATTATGTGGGTCAGTGTAATTTAGTCAAGAGATAAGAGAAGTAGACTTGAGGTTATTATTGTTAAAAATCGACCATAACATGGAGGCTGTCAAGTTTGATTTACTGTAAGTTCATAAAAAATAATTCTTTTGACTCATAAATAATAATGCTCTTACTTTAATTTATGAATACCTAATCACTTATTATTTGATTTATGCATAATAGAGTTCGATAATAATTTGATGAGTATGGTAATTAAATAATTAAATATATTATTCGTTATGATTATTTATTTTTCACATATTTATTTATCTCTTTTTATTTTTTAATTATCATATAAATAATTTTTTAAATATGAATATTTTACTATAAATATTTTTTTTTAAATAAATAAAACACATGATATGATATAAATTACTTTAAAAATCATAAAATAAGATGTTTTATGATTAATAATTAAAATTATTATATTTTATAGCAAGTTGAGCAAAATTTTAAAAAATTTACGATCGCAATAACCACAATGACCGCGAAGGTCTCCGTTATATATGTAACCGTGACAAACGCGATGCGATCGAAAACATGACTGTTATCGCAATTTAAATCTCTGTGACTCACTACTTCTTGACATTCTATCGTAAGCAAAGTTTTAGTGACTTTTTGCATCTTAAAAATCAAGAGTTGTAAGTTGTATATTTGTCTAAGCAATTTGCAGGACATTCTTCCAACAGGAAAAGAAATTGCTATCAAGAGGCTGTCAAAGAATTCAGGACAAGATGCTGAAGAGTTTTGGAATGAAGTAGTTTTAATTGCCAAACTTCAATACAAAAATCTTGTTGGGCTCTATGGCAGCTGCATTCAGAGAGAAGAAAGGCTTTTGGTCTACGAATATATGCCCAACAAAAGCTTGGATTATTTTATCTTCGATTTGATTTCTTGAGGTTTCATTGATCCTATCATATCGCATAATATATGATTACTCAATCTTCAGTACAATAAGCTCAAATAGCATTTGAAATGCCAAACTTTGAGAAAATTATAAGTCATTGAGGTGGTGTGCAGATCATGATAGGAAAAGAAAAACTAAAAAATAAAACAATGTGAAAAACTAAGACTAAAATTGAATATATATTAAAAAACTACTCATAAAAAATTATATAAGTGCCTTAGGTTTATATACAACTAACTAGTGGGTAAATTAAGAAACTAAATCTTCTTAAAATTGATCTTATAATTGAAGGATTGTCTATGCTAATTTTTTGTCTTTAATTCTAGGGATGCAAATACTTAATTCTAGAGATAAAAATATAAATATATAGATTATAATCAGTTGTAAACAAGTATTTTCCCACACTCCCCCTCAAGTTGGTGAATAAGTGTTTTTCATTCTCAGCTTGAAAGTAATTTCTTAAAATGTTACACTGCTAAAACCTTTAGTTAACACATCTACAAGTTGACCATTGGTTGATACATATGATGTACAAATTAACTTATTGTCTAGTTTCTCCTTTATGAAATGTCGGTCTATTTTAATGTGTTTATTTTGTCATGTTGCATAGAATTGTTTGCAATGCTTATTGCAGACTTGTTATCATAGTAGAGTCTCGTTGATCCATCCCACATGAACTTCAAGTCTTTTAGGATAATCTTTAACCATAGTAATTCACAAAATCCTTGAGCCATTACTTTGAACTTTGCTTCATCACTTGATCTTACCACTACATTCAATTTTTACTCATTCAAGTCATAAGGTTACTACTTAAGAAAGTGCAATAGCCTGAGATGGATTTTCTATCAATTATTGAACCTGTATAATTAGTATCTATATATGCCTCTAAAATCAGCTCTAAATTTTTTTTGACTAAGATACTTCTTTCAAGATTGGCCTTCAAATAGTGTAATACACGGTAGACAACCTATAAGTGCACTTATTTAGGACTATGCATAAATTTACTTATCACACTCACAGCATATGCTATATCAAGTCTAGTATGTGAGAGATAAATAAGTCTTTCAACTAATCTCTGGTACATCTCTCTATCTATAGTAACATCTTCATTAACTTCTCCAAGTTTATGATAGGATCTATAGGGGTATTTATAGGTTTACATGCGAGCTTCTCAATTTTTTTTAAAAGAATTATCATATATTTCTATTGTGAGATGAAAATACCCCTATAGATCTATCATAAACTTCTTCAAGTTTATGATTAGGATCTATAGAGGTATTTGTAGGTTTACATGCGAGCTTCATCATTTTTTTCAAAAGATTTATCACATATTTCTATTGTGATATGCTATGAGTGAGCTACTTCAATTCTTAAGAAGTAATTCAATCTCACTAGCTCTTTTATCTCAAATTTTCTAGCCAAACAATGTTTTAGAGATTTTCTATCTTTTTTATCATTTCTTGTTACAATTATATTATCAACATACACTAATAGAACCGTGATTCTTCTTGAATTAGAGTGCTTAATAAATAATGTGTGATCTTCTTAACTCTACTTATATCTCATTGCTAGTATCACTTTGGTAAATCTTCTGAACCAAGTCCTAGGAGACTGTTTAAGGCTATATACAACCTTTTTCAGCTTGCATACTTTATTTGCTTCTAGATAACCTCTAAATCTTGATGAAACCTTTATATGTATTTCTTTTTCCAAATCATCATGTAGAAAAGCACCCTTTACATCAAATTATTGAAGCTACCAATTATAATTTACAGCCAATGATAACAAAATCCTAACTGCATTCATCTTGGCAACTAGAGTAAAAATTTCCTGATAATCTACTCCATAAGTTTGGGTATAGCTTTTTATCCACTAATTTGGCTTTATACCTTTCAATAGTACCATCTACCTTGTATTTTATAATAAAAACCCATTTATATCAAACTGAATTTTTTTTTTAAGCAACTCTACCAATTCTCATGTCTTATTTTTCTCTAAGGCCTCCATTTTTATTTTCATGGCTTGTTTCCATTTTTCATTGAATAATGTAATTGGAACAGAAATAGTGTTTAGGCTCACAAGAAAATTTTTATAGGATGGTGAAAATTTTTCAAATGATATGAAATTAGAGATTGAGTATAGTGGATGCTTAGTACATTCTCTAGTTTCTTTTCTAATGACAATAGACAGATTATAATCACTAGTTATAGATTTAAGAGATTCGTGCTCATTTTGAGAAATAGCGTTAAAGACTGTACTTACCTTATTTTCAAAGTTAGGATCAAGTTCTTGGAATTACACTGGTTCAGGATATGAAACTTTTCTTATTGAATACACTTTTAATTTCTTCATAGAATCAAGAACAATATTATCTTTTATCACATCTTCTGTGTTTGAAATGGGTTTAGACTCAAATTCAGTATTTGACTTGGACTCAAAAGAAACAAGTTTTGACTTAAAAGAATTAATAAGTGAAAATGTTGAAGAGGAAGACAAATCAAACAAAAAAAGTCTTTATCCTTATCTTCCATGAATGAAGTCTTCCTTTAAATATAATGTTAAGTAAAAAATAGTTTATTTTCTTTAAAAGTGACATCTGTAGATACATAAAATTTTTTGGTAAGAGGAGTAGCACTTATACCCTTTCTAAATTGATGAATACCCCATAAAAAATACACTTAATTGTTCTCGAAACCAACTTACCCCTATTATGATGTGAACATGAATAAATGATGTACAACCAAATATCCTAGGTGTGAGGTTGTTTGTGGTAATAAAATTAGGATAGAATTATAAGAGTAGTTCTATAGGAGTTTTAAATCTCAAAACCTTTGAAAGTAACATATTTATAGTATGTGTGACTCTGAAAGTAGCTTCCTTTTAGTAAGATTTGGGTACGTTTGGTTGAAAAAGTAAAACTCGTATTTTGGTTAGTAAATGATTATTTTTCCTCTTTGCCATTCCATCATGCTGTATAGTATTAACATAAGATGAGTCATGGATAGTCTTTTTCTTTTGAAAATAAGTAGATAAACTTTGGTTGAAATAGTCTCTAGTATTATGAAACCTAAATCTCTTGATTTTCACTCCAAATTGATTCTGGATCATGTTTTGGAAACTTAAAAACACATTATTCACATTTGATTTAGATTTAAGTAAAAATATTCAAGAGATCATAGTACAATCATCAATGAAAAAAATAAATCACCTTGTACCAAAAATATTAAGAATTGTAAAAGGACCCTATATATCAATATGAATCAAGTAAAAAGAAGTAAAACTTCTTTTATTGCTAATTGAAAAAGACATACGTCTATGCTTTGCAAGTTCACAAACATTATAATGAAATTTTTTTCATTTAATCTTTTGAACAGAGAAGGAAACATGTTTTTCAAAGTTTCAAAAGAATGATGTCCAAGATGAAAATGATAAAGCTAGTTTTATCTTTATTGAGAGATTTTTTAGAAAGAAATGACAAAGGTAAATTATTTTGGATATTGCTTGTGTTGTTTGATGTCTCAAAATAGTATAGTTCATGTTTCTCTTTAGCAAGTCCAATCATTTACCCCTAACTCTAGTATTGAAATTTACAATAAGAGAGATAAAAAGTCACTTTGTAGTTTATGTTTTTGATAAGTTTTTGTATAGATATTAGATTAATAGACAATCCAAGAATATGAATAACATTTTTAAGAACAAACAAATGATTAATTTGAACATTTCCTAATCCTTTCACTGTAGTAAGTGAACCATCTGTAACAACAATTTTTTTATTACTAGGACACAGGGTATAGGTACTAAACTTCTGTGAGAAATGTGTTATATGATCTGTGGCTTTTGAGTCAATGATCTAAAAACTCGTAATAGGCTTAACGAAGACATTTAATCCACAAGAACCAGAGTTATACCTGAACTAGAGACCTTACCTAAAGAACATATCTTAGTAGGTTTTTTTAGAGTTTTCAATAAGCTTTTTAGTTTCTCAATCTTTTCTCAGTCCAACTATTTTTGTTCCTGAGACTTCTATAATACTCCGGTGATTTTACCAGTTGTCATTTTGTTAAATCGAGTAGCAATGGCAAATTCTGCTATCTCTAGCATGGTTATCTTTTTCAGGACTGAAATGAGTCTTGATAGTAAAGGTTTAACCAGAGATAATTCTAGGCAATGAAGGCCAAAAAAGAAAAAAATAAGACTGAAAGATTTAATAAGATTTAGCTATGAAGGTGTAAAATAAAATTCAACAATGAAGGCTAAAAAAATTTTCTTCTTAAGAAAAGCCTAAAGCTCTGATACCATATTAAGCATCTAACTTAAAACAAATTAGTAGTAAGTGAAATGATCTAACTGAATATAAGACTATAGGATATTAAAATTTTATTAGATGTGAGATAACCTACTTTAACAAGCCCTCATCACATATAGACGAAAATAAAAAATGCCTATTATGTGACATATTAGGAAAGAATAACGAAAAAAAATCCTAACTCTGATATTATGTGAAAAAACTAAAAAATAAAACTATGTAAAAAACTAAGAGTAAAACTGAATGTATATTGAAAAATTTCTTATAAAGAATTATACAAGCACCTTAGGTTTATATACAACTAACTAATAAGTAAATTAGGAAACTAAATCTTTCTAAAACTAATCTTATAATTGAGAGATTATCTATCCTAATTATTTGTTCTTAATTCTAAGAATACAAATATTTAATTCTAAAAATGCAAATATAAATATATAAATTACAAGATTAGAATTAGCTGTAAATAAGTGTTTTCTCACAAAAACTTTTAAAGGCGATGACAAAGTACCAAAAACGAAGAGAGTTATTGGAACATTGTAAGTTCATTCATCTGTGATTATAGCCTTATAGCATTCCAAAGGACTTATTCTTAATATTTTCATGCAGTGGATACATGAGTCCAGAGTATGCAGTTAATGGTAAATTTTCAGCAAAGTCTGATGTTTTCAGCTTCAGTGTACTTGTACTAGAGGTAATAAGTGGCCAAAAGATCAGAAGTTTCTGTCATCCTGATCACCACCATAGCCTATTGGAACATGTAAGTACACAGAATGATTTTGTAGCTTTTGTTCCCTTTCATTGCAACTTTTCTAATCCTATTATTCTAGGCTTGGTTGGTATGGAATGCCATGGAGCTGGTAGATGCATGTTTGGAGGATTCCATTAGTGAGTCTCAAGTTCTTAGATGTATTCGAGTAGGCTTATTATGTGTTCAAAATTACCCCAGAGACAGGCCAACAATGTCATCTGTAAATTTTATGTTGGCAAATGAGGGAGCAATTTTGCCTCTTCCTAAAGAGCCAGGATTCTTCACAGATACAATTACAGGCACAACAACAAGAAGAAAGGAAGAACAACATACTGTAAATATAGTGACTATTACAATGGTGGGAGGGAGATAGAAATACCTGAGAAGCTTAGTTTCGGTTTTCCTCCTTTTGCATAGTTAGGCCATATTGCAGCTATATATCTATCTACCTTCATCCTGACAATATAAAGCAAAAAAAAAAAAAAAAAAAAAGGTGTAGAACCAACTTCATTTGTTTTTTGTGGATATCAGTTATCACCACCTTATAAACTTTTAGGACCTGTAATTAAGTTGATTGATTGACTGTAATATCTTATATCTTATATCTTACTTTCTTTCTCTTTTCCTCTAGGTGTTAATTTACTAATCAAAATGACCAACCAAAATTTGTGCAATTGAGTTAGCTAGGCGTGGTTATTCTTGAATAAAGACTAATGAATTTATGCCTGGAAGATACATGTCACGTGCTAAATGTATTCAATTGGGTTTGACTATTGTTTTCGAAAGGTCCCAGAGGATTGGTTTGTCATGTCTTCTGACCATGCTGGTAAATGACAGAGAAATATTGCCTGAATCTAAACAACCTAGTTTCTTCATAGCAAAAAGTCTCCGATGATGTGGATGCAACATCAAAAAGAATAGAAGCAATTTCAGAAAATGCAGTAAACAAAAAATGCTGGAAGGAATAGAAGTTCAGAAGTAATTTTCTTGACAATTGTTCTTATTTCACTATGTATTGGTAATATTTCAGCATTTACATCAAAGAAACCATCAATAATCTATAGGGTTTTGTTCGTGTCAAAACACAAATTTTTGGAACCGAAATACACAATGGATTTTTGAAACCATTTGGTTGGGTTTCATTGTTGTCTTTTGGGCTACCAATTTTCAAGCCGGATTTAGCAACCCAATAACTGCACCAGTCTTCTTTTCTTGTTTTTCAGGAATTGAACCGCAGTCACTGAAACTGAAACTGAAAATCACTCAATAATCAACAGAATACAAGGCTATTGGCATCAGTCTCATTTTCCTATACCCTTCAAAGCGAAAGATTGGTAGTTGAAACTTGAAACATGGAAATTGCTTCAAGTTACTTAACATGATAATTGAACACTATTTGATTGGTCCAAAACTCTTTAACTTATAAAGATGCTTTTGATCCTAGTTGAAGACTAGAATGTTTCCAGTCATTCAAAAAAGTTGTACTAAGTCCCCGAAAATTTTGGTCTTTAACAAATTGGTTATATAAACAAACCTAAATAAAGGGGATTTTAAGGTGAGAACATGTGTATTTCCAATCGAAATGTTCTGAAAATATATTATATGAATTAAGATTTAAAATTCAAATTTATAAGATATCTTTTATAAGATAAAATTATAATACATTCATATCAAAATGAATAATATTTTACAAGTTGAATACGAATTAATATTATTTGTATCTAAATTAAAAGATAATTTATGATTGATCGATACAATTTTTAAAACGAGACCTTATGAGTACTAGTTCTTTTTTTTACGCATAATAATATTTTTAAATCTAATTTTATTTTTTGCACACTTCAAACTTATTCTTTTAATAAAATTTTAATTAATTTTACGATTTTATTAAAAATATAAGTTTTCTTAAATGATCAATTATATTTAACTAAAAAAAAGTTAATGATAACTTTTTGTGTTTTCAAAATTCGTTTAGTGATTTCAAAATTATTATGACAATAGCATTAGTCCAAGTATTAAAATTAATGACAAAATAAAAATAAAAATAATTAATTATAAAAATTATTATTTTTTAAATGTTAAATTGATAGAAAAGTGAATAATATAATATAATAACCAAATAAGTATTTAACCCAAAAAAAATTTATTTAAAAGTATTTGATCTCGTTAAATCAATATCTCTAATTGGTTTACAATTTTATATGTCCTCAATTAACACAAACATCTTTGCATTGATATATTCAAAATTATTTGTAACTGTAACCAGAAAAAAAAAAAAAAAGATTAGTTGTACTTTTTCAAATATTAATTTATTTTATTAAAAGTTTTGATATTATAATTTATATTTTTTAAATATGAGATTTTTTAAAAAATTATATAACTTCGAATCTAAAAGGAAATTGACTTGTTTAACTCGGCATGTGATCACACTAATTTTCACGACTCCATTACCAAACTTTATAAATCAACTTGTTTTTTTTTTTTTCCCATTATTTTCTTATTCAATAACCTTGTTGTTATTTATTAAAGTATAATTAATTTACCAAATGAATTAAGGCATGCTAACTGAGTCATTTCCTTTTGATAAAGGAAAAAAAAAAAGAAGTAAGAAAAAAAGAGAAAATAAATGTGATAAATATTTTTTGAAAGGGGCAAACTCAAACAAAATTTTTTTGATCATTTTGAAAATTTAATTAACAAATTTAAATTAACACTGATAATATCATTTTGTGTTTGATAGACATTAATGTGATATATTTTATAATTATGTAACTAAATATATATCTAATAATTTTTGGTCTATTAATAAAAATAATTTTTAAAAAAATTAATTTTTAATTAATTCGATTTGAAAGAAAACTTAATTGAATTAACTAAAATTTTAATTAAAATATAATATAATTCAAATATAAAATAAAAGATATATAAAATTGATTATTTTATTTCATAAATTACTATAATTTTTAACATAATATTTAAATATTTAAATATTTTGTTAGATAATTTTTTTAATTTATTTAAAATATAAAAAATTTAACATTTAAAATATAATTTAATTTAAATGCATTTATTATTTAATTTTTTAAAAACATTATTCGAACCAACGAATTAAATTCGGTTAATTAATTTTTAAAATTAATAAATTTAATTTGATTAATAAACAATTATAATGAATATAAAATTATTTATTTTCTAACGTTCATCTCGAAAATCAACAAGACCAGCTCCGAGGCCCCCTTTTTTTTTCCCTAGTCTTTAGCGTTTAAAACAAGGTCTTGATATTTAATTTACCAATAAGTCTGGGTCTAGTAATATTCAAACCAAGGACAACAGGCTACTAGTGAATTTTTATATTATAAATTCGGACGAAGTGAAAGTTCGTGTCACCGTCTTAGACAAGGCAGCTTTCTAGAGTTTGGCTTCCACGATAGCTTTCTTAGTCAATCTAGATTTCTAATTTAATTGCAGTGAGATGATTTGAAATTGGTTCAAATTAGTTCTCATAAATTTATTAGTATGACCAGTATACTACATAAATAAATATATATAGAGGAGAGGGGAGAGATCTAATTATATCAATATATATTTTACATTTTATTTTGATTTTTGAATTAAAATAATTAAAATTAAAAATATTATTTTAATTTAAATTAATTATGAATTTAATTTTGATTTAAAAATAAAAAATAAACTTACATTAATTTACATAAAATCTTACTCTTATATTTATTAATTAAGTCAAATTAATATTTGAGCTTGTTTTCTTAATCAACTTATTGATTAAGTCTAAAAGTTTACATGGACTTAAATTATTAAATTATGCTGATCCATCCATTGGGATACAAATTATTAATTCAACTTAATGTTTTCATTAAATTATGAGAAAATTTTACATGAAATGTTGATTATAAACGATATTTTTAATAATTTTTTTACATATTATTAATTTTTATATTAATTTTTATTGATTTATAAATTATGATTTTTTAAAATTAATTTTATTTGATCTTCTTTAATAAAACAATTAGAAATTTGACCTCAATTACTTATAAAGAACGAAAGAATATTAAGTACAGTTAGTCAATATCAAGCAAAGTAATCTGACTTTTATAAAATTATATTTTTTTATTATAACAATCTACTTCAATATTTTTTAATACAGTAATTTTTCTTATGAGTTCTTAAAATTTTATTTTATAAAATATTATAAAAATCCAAAGTCTTAATTTTTTTTACACTATTTATAAACTTTGGTCCTTTTCCTAAGCCAAAAGGAAATTACCTTTTGACGAAAAAGTGAACAACAGTACTAATCAAGGAGTGGACCCGGTTTTTTTTTCTTTCTTTTTTTTTTTTTTTTTTTTTTTTCTGTTCTAATTAATTTTAATCCACTAATATTTCCTTCTTTAATCACTCATAAAAGCCTAATGAGATTAAAAACTTTTTTAATTGAGATAGAGACAAATTTGTTACATTATAGTTAATGGTTTTTTTCTTTATAATTGTGACAATACAAAAAAAAAAAAGAAATATAGACATAATTTCCTTTTTTATCTCCGATTAAATCTTAAATTACATAATTAGTCATCTTTTTTCTCAAAATTCTGATCTAATTAAGGCCTAAATTTAAAAAGAAAATGCAAGAAGGCATTTTAATGAAATTATATAATTTTAAATCTCATTTTGTCTTTGTTGACGTGGTACACTAGAAAGAAGAAAAAGAGAAAAAAATCAATTTTTAATCAAAAAGTCTATTTCTTTAAATTGTTACAATCATAATTAAATATTATATTCATATAATCAACGTAAAACAACTATTATATCATTATCAACTTACAATTATTAAATAATCTATTATTTATTCTTAAAAAAATTATATGTATTATTAATACTCCTTTCTTTTCTTAAAAAAAAAAAAGAAATTTTTTTGGAGTGATTGGATTATTTTATATTAAAAAGGCGATTGATTCTTCTTGCAATCCAATTATCTTTTTTATGTATGCACCAAACATAAGATAATATAATAATTATCTTATTATATTTATATCTATCCACCAAACATATGTATTGATTAATTGGAAACAAATACGAAAGACTATAAAAAAAAATTCAAGTTTTTATAATTGATATGAAAATGAAACTGTTAATATATTCTAATACAGCTAATTATATACTTAGTAAATCATATTATATATGTGTAACTTAACTATTTTATAATAAATACCTAGTTTAATCTAAGATTGAAATAGTTTTTTCTTTTTTGGCATATGCATTTATTATATATTTCATTTAACTTTTTGGTCCATGATTAAAAAAAATACATTTTCTAGAAGAATGCTAAGATTGAATAAATTTAGTATACAATAAAATTTTTATATAAAAATCAATATGTCACCAATTAAAATTTAATAAGTAAACGGTGTCATTAAGTAACCTTTTTTTTTTTTTGAAATTGAAATTAACTTAATTATCAATCAAAACTAATTATAAGAAAAAAGGAAAAATGAAATGTGTCATACATTCTTTCATAGAAAACAAGTTATTAAAAATAAAATATAATTAATTTTATCATAATCAAATCAAATTAAGAATTTATGAAAAGAAAATTAATTTTTTATTTATTGGCATCTATGTAAAAGCTAAGTCAATTGAAAATATAAAAAAAATTTATTATATAAATATTTTAAAATTTAAAGCAAATTAAAATAATTAAATTTGAAGTACATAGACATTTATTCAAGACTGTATATGTATCAAAAGAATAAACCATTGACATTGGATTTTTTTAGTCAAATGTTTATATTTTATATTTTTATATAAGATATCTTCATTTTTCATTTTCACCTCACTATTACAAATATTTTATTAAAACACATATAGCATAATTAATTTTAATTAATTTTATCATTATATTATCTAATTTTATTGTTACAGTAACTAATATTATAATAATTATTTTTACAATTTTCAAAATTAATTTTACCGTTCATCCAAATAAACCATAAATTGAATTACAATGCATAGTAACCATAAATTCAATAGCATATGAACATTCTTCTACCTAAATAATTCCTCCTTCCTTTCCGGTGCATGAGCAGATGCTTCTATTTTACTCACTGGGGAAGCCATATATGCCAAACATAAATATGTATGGGCTATGTATATGCAAGTAATTGAAATTCAATCTTTTAAACAACTATGACTTTACAATTTCACATCCTTTAGAAAATAACTCAAATGATGGGTTGCAAGCATTTAACTCAAATGATAGGTTACCCAAATCCCAACCCAAGGAAAGTGTGATGTCCCCAATTTTATATTGGAAGAATTTGAGATATGATATGATATATATGTTAAGATCTAAATTCAAATTAGTGAGGTATTTTTGTGAGACAAAATTAGAAGATTTTTTTGAGTGAAAACAAATAATATCTCATAAGTTAGGCGTATGTATCCATAAATATTAGAGCAATCATTAGTAAAATGAAAAAATATTAGAGCGATCATTAGTAAAATGAAAACTAAGTGCTACATCGTGGGAGTCACCTATAGAATCTCGAAAGAGCTAAGTGTTATACGATGGAAGCCACATCTAGAATCTCAATATCTGGTGTAATTTTGGTTTAGTGGTTGAACTTGATGGGGATGTCAAGTTTTACTAGAGAAAGATTATGATGCCCCCAATATCATATTAGAATTATATGAGGATATGATATGAGATATATGTTGAGAACTAAATTAAAACTAGTGATATACTTTTTGTGAGATAAAATTATGAGATTTTCGGATAAAAAGTAAACAATACTTTATAAGTTGAGTGCGATTCTTTATAGAAGAGATTACCTATAAATATAGAAAACCACGCATAAGTGTCATGTGATATATGCTATAAGATAACGCTAACAAAGACTTGGATTTTTTAATTTACACTAGCATTATGCGATATCAACATCATGGGACTATGATATTTTGGTATACATTCTTGTTATGAAATATCATTCATTAATAGATTAATTCAAAAAAACAAATAAAAGACTAGTATTCAAATTTAATAAGGCTGTCCTTTTGTGCGGATAAAACCATAACACTTTTGGATTAAAGTGGGACATTACCTTACAAGGTTGGTATGGATATTCAGTAGAAGGGATATAATACAATATGGAAAACCACGTTTGTGTGTCATATGATATTTGCTATAATATAAAGCTAACAAAGACTTGGATATTTTAGTTTGCACTAGCATTACGCTATATCTGC